CCCTAGGAACAATGTCTTTTTGCGTTTTCCTTAGACTTTTAGTAATCATTCGATAGCCTGAGAGCGAATTCTAAACTATATTTGGATTTCAAAAACGCTTTTTCTAATGCGCTGTAGCAGCGAAAATAGGATTCGTTATTTCTTCGGCGAGCACTTTTTGGTCGGTTAGGGTACGTGGGTGGCTTCTCAACATAGTTTTAGCACTTAATCGATAGCTTGATAAACAATTATTGCAAAACTGAGTTTACTTTTCAAAAAGATCCTAGTAGAGCGAAAAGAATATTACTTCTCGCAGTCGAAGATATACGCCCCAAATGCGCATGAACTTATGGAGATAGTCATGCTTATCAGAATATCAAAGGAATCAAAAAATTTTTTTGAATTTTATAACAATTTCTTCAATAAATAACAAAGTCGCATCCTATTGAAGCGGCGTTTGAATTTGCAGCGCTCAACGAGACTTTCATTGTTTATTAGGGAATTTTTTTCTGTTTCGAAAATATTTTGAGCTTTTGTACTAGTTTTGTGGAATAGACTTTTCTATCGTTTTATAAGTACTAGGTTTTATTTTAATTTCATATTGTTGCTATGAAATTATGAAGAACCCGTTACCGCGCTCAAGAAACGATAGAAAGCATGTACAGTACTGAAATTGCTCAAATTCAATCCTGACCAAAAAGCGTTTGCTATCCTAAGGTAAGCTTTTCCCTGCAAAAAGGCTTTTAGGAGTATGTATATCTCTGAGGATACACGCCGACCCAGAAGGTCCACATTTAAGGTTCATCGTTAACTGGTAATTCCCAGTGATAGAACTCATTAGGTGATCAATGATTAGGATCTCTAGAACCTTTCGCAAAGGTAAAAATTACCCACATATCCACGATATTCTGAATAGTAGCTTTTATGATATCCATTCCCCATTATCGTGAGTTTTATCTTGATGAGGTACGCTCAAGGCGCAGTGATTGAAGATGTCTTGTAATCCAAGTAAGGTCACCCGTTCGACAACGCACCATGTTCCATGCCTTACCGAACCGGCTTGTATCAATGAACGAAATGGCCTTATTAATCTGTGGACTTATTGCGCATTTCACGACCACCATTTATTCAAACAATACCACTGAGTTACACGCACACGTTTTTGTTTCGTTCAAATCAATTGTGGTGATAATCATAAGTAGTACTTAGGAAAGTTAAAACTTAGACTTAAAAGTACCTCTCATTGCTTTTACGGACTTTACACCATTTAGATTTTGGTTACTTCTCCTATAGTTCTAAAAATTCCGTATAATATCTTCATACAATAAGTCGATTATGATGTTAAAGAGTTTAAAATGTGCCCTCTTATTACCTACCGCCTTTTCCAATCATCCTGCAATAACTTTTTTTCAGTGACACATTTTCTTACTTTTTTAGCACTCGGTTTTGTGGCACTTCCTCTTACTGTAGCGACTCAAATCTCTTGATCGTTCAGTTCCTGGAATATCTCGAGTTTTGCTCATCATTCTGTCCGCCGTTCTATCCATTTGATGTTTGATAGCATATTCTCAATCTTCACTTCAAACTAGTTTTCAAAATATGTCCATCATGTGTTTGGTATCGAGAAAAGATGTAAAGAGTGAAAAAACAGTGATCTGACTACTTCAAGGCAAAAAGTTTGAATAGAGTTAGCTCAAAAAGCATTGAAGAAAGTTGGATTAGTCAGAGTGAACACAGAACAGCGCTGGTGAAGTAAAGAAAGGAAACCATTATCCGAAGACAAATTGTAGATATAGTCTCTTCCGGTACGGATCCACTGAATAAGAATGTAACACATAACCTTGTTGGTAGCTGAAAGCAGACATGTATAGGGATTTTTTGAATGCGGACTGTTGTGGGGCTGAAATGAACAGCGCCTAAATCACTTGAAATATGTTTGATTAGTAAGATATTGAACAGAATATGTATTATCAGTTTTCACTAAACACTGATATTTTATATATGTGATTCACGCGAAACTGCACTTATTTCTCTGAACTGGCATATGACGGATACTATATCTTCTTCTTCTAGCGTGTTCACACGGCTTCACAAAGTAAAAGAAATTTAAAAAGACACTGACATCTTGCAGGGTACCCACTTTTTGGATGACAATTTCATCACAAATAGGTGGAGACTTAATACTTGAGTTGTTCTATTACTATTTATACTACTATCGATGCACTCAGTAGCCTTGAAAACGTCTTGCTTTGCAGCATGGTTACATCTGCTTATGCTAGAGTCACAGGATGATTCTAGTTGCAGAGTAGAAAATCTGTCACTGATCTACAACTGTAAATGATTTACTTTGCTGGAGATGTGGCAACGCTAAGTTCGCTGAAGTGAGGCTCCTGGGAGAAAATGCACTTACGAAGCATACACAATGCCATATTGAACTGGATAACTTCAATATCACTGCATTTTATACAAAGAGAGCGACCAACTATTCAATCAAATTTGTATCATGTTGAAGCTCGTAATTTTCAGTGTTTTATACTTTGATCACCGTCAAGAATCTTTATCGGTATGCGCAGCTGAGATTTCTAGGATCATTCCATCTTCAGAGGCACATCGATAGTGAAACACACATAGTCCGGCATTATAGCAAGAACAACCTATGGGCAGATGGACAAAAAGACCGTTGGAGTAGTTAACAGTATTCAAGACTTTTGAGCGACCATATCAACGATGAATTGGCGGATTGGATGGTTAAGTCAGCCATCTCGTCCCGTAGATAGCCGTTTTTTGGATGACGGAACGTGTCTTGCGGCTGTCATTTCCAGAGCTGACCAGTGCCATGGGCGACGACTGCCACTGCATAAAAAAGCTGGTGCAAGTGTACTGGCTCTACGTCATTCATGAGGACAGACAATCTAATGACCTATGCAAGAAAATAAGAAAGCAAGCAAATAGAGATTTCATCACATCCCAAATTCAATGCTGTGTATTGGGAACTTAAGCTATTTTATTCGTTGGGAACCACGTTAATTTCGGCGCGGCAGGGGCGAGAACGGGCGGCGAGCGCAGGACTTGTCACGGGCGATTTGACCATGGTACATAGTATACCGTACGATTCCCAACGGATTAAATACCAACATATACAACAGTGAATTCTTCACAGTTAACGTATATAATTATCCAAAATGTATTAGTGCAGTCTAGTAGTACATGACATATATTTTAGGGCTGAGACATCATTCCTCTCTTTGAACCTAAACATCGTTTCAGTTCATAAAATACTTCGCTCGTATTCAGGTTCTTGTCAGCGATCGCAAATTGACGTTGCTAAATACATAACCCATTGGCCATAAAGGTTCTATCAACGGAAATGCAACACTCGTTTCATCAAAGATTGGCAAATAAGGCGCTGAACGTTATCCATCTCCTTAGAAACGCGTCGTACCTTTTATCTTAACTACAGCATCTTAGTAGTGATTCAGTTCATAGTGACCTACAAAACGATTTCACATATCTCCTAAAAACACATCAGGCCAATCTTTTTAATTTCTCGATCTAGTCCAACAATAATTTCTTTTCGAAAACTAAAAGAATTTGGTAATCCATGAACGTAGACACACTAAACTATGAGCGCGTTCCCCATCTATCGCGCTTTATGTGTTCTTTCACGTCAATATTAAGGAGAAAACCAAAACCGGACGTCGCCTTGCATTCTACCCTAAGCTGCAATTCTATATGTGCACCCTGCAAACATTGCTACTAATATAGACGATTATCCTCCGACATTAAACGTGCTGTATGGACTGGTTCGGCCTCCAGCCATAGTATCATCTGTCGTCCTGTTGATCGTTGAGTGACTCGAGCGTGTACCAGCAACACTTCCATTTTTCCCTATCGCGTGCAAGAGTAGCCCAGTGGGTCCTCCTTGCTCTAGAAATTCGTTGAGCATCATATCTTTCTTCTATAGCTTTCGTGAAGAAATCGGACCAATGGGTCGGCGGTTTTCCTGTAGAGCGCTTGATGTCCCGAGGAATGCAGTTGGTAACGGCTCTCGTCCATCGGTTGTCGTTGAAGCGCATCACGCGCCCGGTTCACCTGATTTTCGATATCCTGGCGTGTAGAATGGCGTCTCTGATTTTCAATCGTTAACGTAAGTCGGGACTTCAGATCCTTTCTGTCATTTGCGAGATACGGGATATTCCTAGCATCGACCTTTCGAATGCGCTTTCGATAACGCCAAGTGATCTTTCATTCTGCTTACGTAGCGACCAGGTTTCTGCTGCATACGTTAGGGTAAGGATTATCGTCGAGTTGAAAAGGTGGGCACGGAGTCGGATGTTCTTTGCCCTCTTTACTACATCTTCGATGCTCTTTAACGTTCCCTAAACCGCTTGGTTCCTCCTGCTCAACTCTGGAGCTAGGTCGTTCATCATGTTGATTTCACGTAACTGGAGCATTCGGAGATTGTTGTGCCGTTGAGCGTGAATGGGGCATTCAAACCCTGCCGTCCTCATGAACACGTTTTCGTGAGATTTAGTTGAAGACTAATCTTTCCACAGGCGATATCGAAATCGGTCAACATTCGTACCGCTTGGCTGATGTTTGGTGTTATGAGGACGATATAATCAGCAAAGCGAAGACGGTTCAAATGTCGACCGTCATTTTCACTCCCATATCGTCCCATTCTATTTTTCGCATGACGTTTTGTAGGGTGGCAGTGATTAGTTGGCGAAATTGTGTCGCCTTGTCGAACCCTCTTCTTACGTTAATAGTGATATGTTGTAGAATGGAGATATTTTGGTCGCGAAATCTTCATAAAGCTCACGAAGGATTATTAAGTGTGAAGCTGTGGGAACAAAGGACAATTACATAGCGAAATGCCTTCCCGTAAGTGTTCTTAATCTTATGGTTGTCTCATTATGTTGTGGAATTGGTATTGCTGTATGTACTGCACATCCTCGGCTCATAATGTTTTTGACGTACTCTCTAAGTTCCTAAGAGAATTGAGTGGCGAGCAAAAACTCGACCTCAGCCGGGAATCGAACCCATGCCTATCGGGGGACGCGTGCTCTACCACTACACCACTGAGGCACATTTGCCCGACCACTCATTCTTCAACATCTCAATGTCAGCTATCAGCCACCAGCCTTTGACAGGTTTGATCGGGTATGTGATTTCGCTTTATAAAACCAGTTGAGCTGAAAGCTATTCTAATTACTAATACTCGAAATTGATAGTATTTTTAATGCGTCTCGCACTGTTATGATGTTTTCCATATTCCTAAGAGAATTGAGTGGCGAGCAAAAACACGACCTCAGGCGGGAATCGAACCCATATTTCATCCTATTCCAATGTGCCTGAGTGGTGTGGTGGTAGAGCGTGTAGTGGTAGAGCACGCGTCCCCGGATAGGATGAAACGTGGGTTCGATTCCCGCCTGAGGTTGTGTTTTTGCTCGCCACTCAATTCTCTTAGGAATATAGAAAACATCATAACAGTGCGAAATGCAATTGTCCTTTGCTCCCACAGCTTTACACTTAAAAATACTATCAATTGCAAGTATTCTCTGAGTTTTTGCTACAACGTATGCCAATATATTCTATGCATCAAACAACATCTATCATATCAATACAGCGCGAAAGTTTTTCTTCCTGTAGAAATTGTTTTTTTCTCGTGGTTGCTGTTCTTTTTTTCTATCCGTTCGACCGATCATCGTCAATCGGAGCCTTTTGCATAACATAGAAAACCATCTCAATTTTTTGTTTTCGATTCTACATCAGCGCCTTACGGATGCTCATTCCACTGATTCGTTTTATAATCGCGTCATTAACGCTCCTCTCGTTCACTATGGAAATGACTGATCGAATTACCGTTTGAGTGCTGAGACCAAAAACAAATTCGTAAAGTTGAAAAATTGTGTATAGGGCCCAGTTTATGTGATGTTTATCTAATTTACATAGTAGTACATTCTAACTTGTATTTAATTGATTCGAAGTGAATTTTATTTGAATAATGAAATTAGGACATAAATATGTTAGACTGGATAAATGGCTTCACTGCCAGAGTAAACATAAACATATGTGACAATCTTCTCAGATAGGATAATAAAGTTTTTCCAAACGTCCTAAGAGAAGTGAGTGATAAACAAAAATTTGGCCCCAAAGAGATTTGAGCCCGCGTTTCACCCATACTGAGGTGGCGTGCTTTATTCATATTTGGAATATCAAACACTGCAAAAAAGCAGTATCTGCAATAGCAGTAAAAAACGCAAGATCTTCAAAATTCTTTTGATAAGTTTGTCTGTTTCAGACGCTGTTAGAAGTTTTGCACGTATCATAAATATTTATTGACGTCATTGTCAATGGGTAAATGTTTGCATTCGTATTCATCTTTTCTTCTTACTTTGTTGCTGGATTATTATTTCCACTTATCATTCATTAGAGTAGACAGCTCATTTAGTCAACACAATGGAACATCTATGGAGATTTTAGCCCGATATGATTGAGATGTGAAATCTGTAGAGTCGTTCTTGGAAGTGTCTTCCGCTGCACACATGGTCATTTTTTCATTGCCATGACGCGGGCTCCCTAGGACTTGCTTTTTAGCGATGTCGACAAACTAACGCCACATTTGTCTAGAAAAACAGTACTGATCTGATATATCGGTATGACACGGTGAGCCATCATGTAAGTCAGATATCATTCCGTTCCCTCTAAGGATCCTTAATGGCATCAAGGACATGGTCCATACTTAAAATTCAACCAGTGTCGAATACTAAACGCTTATAGATTGAGGTAAGTGTGTATAAATTCTAAAAGTTTATATGTGAGCCACATATTAGTCACATCTTCGTGAGTGTGTCGAAACGATTGCAAAAATGATACCAGCAGCTGTGTAACGACTTCTTGTTCGTCTTCATTTGCACATTCTCAGTAGATAGTTTTTTTCCTGTCTGGTAGTAAATAGAATCTTAGAAATCAGCGTCATCACCTATCAGATTATTCCAATTTTACACGTGCTATATTGAATCTTATGGAAGCTTGGGAATTTTCTCTTGCCTAATTCTTTATAGTAAGTAAGTAAGAAAACACTGAGTTGAGGAAAAGTTCCTTAACACCCGCGGAAAGTCCAAATTTTATGTGTGTTTCACACAGTATCACAGTACAGTTATTGTATCATGGGAATGTTTCAAGAATATTTCTACAGTGCGTCTGCCTTGTCAATCACGATCGGAGCAAGCACTGGGTTTCAAAGGTCAAGCTCCACCATCAGTTGCACATCAAAATCCATTTGACAAAAAGATCATGATCTGCACTCGATGGAATTTTGAAGTGCCTTGCACTTTTGATTTCTCCAGAATGGTCGCTTCATCATGACCGAACTCTACTGTGAGCAACGGAACTACGCTTGCAATGCGTTGAAAGAAAAGTAGCGGACACTGATTCGTGGAAAGCGCGCGCTGTTTCAGCAAGACCATGCCAAACCTCACACAGCAAAGAAGACTAATGAAAAGTTTGATGACTTGAAGGAGTAGAGGTCTTGCTGCACCCAACCTACAATCCAGTTGCTGCGCCGTCCGATTTCCGCTCAATGGAACATCTCCTGCGTGGAACGCCAATTCGGGACACTCGGTCAAATTGACGAGGCGTGTTAGAATTTTTGGTTCAAAGCCTATGAAATAATATTCGAGCAGATCCAGTTTGCAGATCATGTCAAGAAACCGTGGATAATAATGGTCTTTATTTTGTGGAATAATTATTGTTGTTTTCAAGTGTATTCATGCATGAACTTATAATTTTCAGTAGTTGTTAAGGAGCTTTTTCCTCATCCTAATAAATCTTGTAACTTGAAATATGCCATCATATCATAGCCCCCACTTGTCGTCTGTTCCGAGTGAAAGAGGGTTCATAGAAGCTTTTCTTGCAAAATAAGTGAGTGGTAAAAAAAAAGTTCTTTGAAATTTCATCGGAAATTGTATAACGCCGCTTATTGAGCACATTTATGTCTTCATATTCCAGTGAACATAAGAACATTCTTATCATTGCAGTTTTCTTTTCTGTATCTTTTTTCATTGAAATGGTGTTCACATGAAGCACATAGAATTACCTCACATTTTGTTGTCTTTTATCTTGCCATGAGAAGATTGAAATCGATTCAAACTATGTACAATGCAGCATTCTGGCTCAAAAATTACACCTTGAGAGTTACTTTCCTGATACCTAATCGTGATCAGTTATGCTTGAGCTTGTGAAGCATACGAAGAAGACAACCTATCCAACCAATACTTTCTACTCTAGTCACTTTATATGATAATTTTTGTTATCGCATGTTTTCTTCTCAAGTCCAAGCTTTGTTCACACAATCAAACATCTAACGTTTCTGCAGGTCGCCCTCGTCAGAGCCTGGAGAGGTCAAAGTTGCTTACAATCCAGTCAGTCAAACACTTCCATCACTTCTTTAGAGAAAAACGTCAGACCTAGATTTCGAACGCATCGAGCACAAAGTCAACGTTAAACATACTCACCGCTTTTATATTATGTCTTCCAGTGAATGAACAGGTGAAGAACAACGGAACGGTAATCAACATAGGCCAGTAATAATGCACTATACCCCATCAAAACAACAGTCTTATATACTGACTCATATGACGGGTGACTACGAGGCATTCTTCCTGCGGTTCATAGCTGGATTGGTCGTGTTTATTCAGAAAACCTCAAGTATCTTTCGCGCTGATGTTTTTTGCTCCTGCTCAAGGATGGTGACCTCTACATCAAATCATCCGGCATGCTTTTGGGTTCTATGTAAACCTAGCGGGGTGTTTTTTTAATTTGGCGCATGTCAGCTAGGTGCTCTCCTATGCGAGCATAGAGCGGCCTACACGTTTCGCCAATATATTCATCGTCGCACGCTTTGCAAGAGATTACGTAAACTGTGCCTACGCTCATGCAATAACGTCTCTGCCGTAAGGGCACATTCGGCAGTTTTTAGTTGTGCAGAGGCGGTCATATGAACGATTACGAACTAATTGGCGCCTGAGAGTGTTTGGTGTTTTCTGTTACTGACACCAGGTGCTTCAAGCGTGCCCTTTTCAAACAATGTTTTATAGCCGTACTTATCTCATTTGAAAAAAATGGGAGGATGAACGGGATCTTACTTTCTCTAGAACTTTTGTGCAAGAACGTTGTTTCCTTTAAACCTCAAACGGGGGGGAGGGGGGGGGAGAGGTTACAAAGTTGTAGCCATCAAAAATGGCTATTTACCGAGCTAGCTTTTCGGATTCTCTTCTCTGCTCCTCTCCGGTGCACACACCGGCGGCTGTTCGAAACATGTTTTTTACTAGCACCTTTTCTTATGTGCGAGGGATGACAGGAGAGATAGTGAACAAGGATATTATTCATACTTGGCTTTCTGTACCACTTTGTAACATAGCCTATATCGCTTAAGTTTATTTGCACGTTCAGAAAAGGAAGCCAATTATCTTTTAGTGTCTCCCGTGTGAATTTCATTTACTCTGACTGTTCCGTTCACCTAGTAACCTAAAACATCTGTCGAGCTCTCCTTGAGTCGAAAAGATGACCAAGCAATCATCTGTAAACCTACAGTAGGGTAATAGCCGGAGATCAATCACTGGAGCTTCTACTTTTTCTAATAAGTATCAAGTCGCGCCTATGTCAGCTAAGTGCGACATTCCTTTGCCTGACTGATTCTATACAAATTCTCCCATATTCTTCGTTAAGTGCATATTCATCTATGGAATAGAAGCTCAGAAATTTGCTGTTGAAACAGCATTCTTATTTATCTCTGCTTGTGCATCAACCAGATAAAAGCCAACACAACAACCGTTCTTCCTTCCTACTCTTAATCTCCTTTCATTTTCTCTACTCTCATTCTCCTTTCATTTTCTCTAATGAGAAATATCTTTTACCAATGGTATTGGTCGTTTAATTCCTCCTAAAAGCTTAAAGACTTCTTTGCGTGCAGAATTTATCCATTGCATGCGATTCTCATGCTCTGTTTCTACTTATTATGAGCCGTTAGTCATCTGGAACTCAATGTATTTCTGTTAAAGCAGTAGAGCCTCATTGTTCAAAAATCTACAACTAACGCTCTTTGAAGTTTGGCTGGTCCAACATGACAAATATTATGGCGAGTGTGGATTTTATTCCACCAGAATACTTTACTATCTTCGAAGTCTTATTCCGCATAGTTTCGCAGATGATTTTTGTCACCAATACTTTCATAATGGCAATACTATCATATTCTGGGATTTATTGATAAGATAACCCGAGGGTTTTATAGAACTCCATCATGCTCGTCACCGTTTTGGCGGTTTTGCTTTCATCAAAGCAACGCTGAATTGCATCAAAAGTCCACAACACTTCTTCTTGCAATGTTGGTCTTCATAGTACAATCTTTGAGACAAATCGACTAGAATGGATCACCGT